GTTCAATCTTTGTTGCACATTCAGACCCCTACCTTGCAGGACGTGCGCACTCCACTGCTGACCAGCAGAGAGACAGCGCGGTTTACCTGAGTGTCGATGCATCCACTCCCGATTAGGTGTTCGCCAGTGTTTGGATGATATTACACTCTGAGTTCCTCTTCATCCTAATTTTGCCGACACGTATGGATGTTGAAATTTTGTCACACTATACATACCCAACCGTGCTATTCGGAGATGACTCGGACGTCAGAGATCCATTGAGAGTTGCGCCGAGGTTGACAGGATTAAAGCGGTGTGGCAGGTTACTGCCATTTCCGTGTGATGCTCAGCTCGCACATTTGAGTCTCGATGAGTTGGCTCGTGCATAGCCGGTTTTATGCATAGTAGGTTTTCAGATTTGTTAAAGTCGCCGTCTGAACAATGCATGATTTCCATCGTACACAGATCAGCCTCTTTTTGACGTGTGGTGCAATGTATTTTTTGTGAGCCTTTAAATCGGCTTGTACGTTTGGCACAAGAGGGAGATTGATCAAGAACTACTTGGCCTCCGATGTGGTATGTTCCCAGTTTGAAGACTGCCACCTTTCCTTGGCATTGAGGCAAATATGCAATTACCTGAAATATAAGTTGCCTCAAACAAATTCGTTTTGCAAACCTTTCACCCTTGCAAAGACATTAACGAGATGTAGAGTTATTTTTCCACTAACAAGTGCAATAAAGAGACGAGGACGTATGCCATATCACATGGAGCAGTTGAAACGAGTCCCTGGCGGCTGTGGGAGTCGAGCAGGGAAATCACGCATGGACAGTTGTTTTGGTACCAGAGCACACGGCGCTATCTGGGTTGTTTACACTTTCCTTAGTTACTTTACCCGAATTCTGACCGATCCACGTGCTGAGATACAAGATGTACGTGCAGGCGCAGTCCCAGTTGCATGTGTGCTTTCTGAGTGTCAAGAAACTTCGCCACAATAAACACACGCGCCGAAATATTAAAATGTTTTGCAAAAATTGTCATTTCGAAGCAAAGCCATGAATATTAAACGGAGAATAATTTTACAATAAAAATGTGTTGATCAACGGATTATAACTAACTAGTAATGCTAATTAACAGCAGGGGATATAAGATTATGAAGAAGGTTGCAAAGTGGGTCTCAAGCAAAAAGAGCAACACAATAAAAACTTTGAACAAGTTCCTGAAAGGATGTAAAATATCCGTCAGAGAGATACAACAGGGGTACACTTGGCAGTTATTGAAGGCGGAATGGATGAGAATGGGTCAGAGTGCTTTTGGCAAACGAAACTTAATAATAAAAAGCAATAAGCGATGCGTATATGGAACAATATATGTTAAATATATGTTAATCAGTGTATATTACCAACTATGACACGTTTTTGTCAAATGCCGTGTTGGACAATACCGCGTTTGACAAAGAATAGCCCTTATCAGAAAAATAGGGTTACGTTCCAGGGTCAAAAAGTATCACCCCCTCTCTCTTTGTTTACATAATTCTAGATGATTTCCGCCCTTGTTTTTATACTAAAATATGTTGAGTCGCTCTCTATGCCTTGTGTGTACACTCTTTCAATTTCACCTCAACACATAACCCCCGTCTCCATTACCTTTCGCACTCAGCGGCAATCACGCCCAAAGCTCGCCCATGACACTGTCTCTTGAACGTTAATGATTCGCTATCTAGACGTTCTTATGACTGATATCCTCAATTACTGGAGGAATAGATGCATGCGGCAATGTGAAACATTTACTCATGATAAAAGTTTTTGAGTTAGATCGCGTTATCTATAAATGTGTCGTAACCCTTCACCACCCGACACAGCCAATCAGCAAAAAAGTGTCACGTTGACAAAAGACAAATAGTTCACTACTTTAGCCCACCGGTGTGTTGAAGAGTGAACAACATTTTCAATTTTTGAGTACGACGTATCGCTGGTAATTACATCCAGCATCATTGGGCAATTCGCCAGAATGGTGAATAATATTGGTCGCGAAAGCCTACGTGTAAAACTGAAACATTTACGTTGTTCTATTGTTCCGTTGTACATGAGCGTGTTGAGTGTGTTATACAAAGAAACATATACGTAAAACATACATAGACAAAAACATATGTGATACATACATCGTCTTCACAATCGATTCGTTCACACCTTCCAACTGATGCAGCACTTCTGTGGCACTACTTTTAGCCGCGGAGATGATATTCTTATCGTTTTATTGTTTTATATATATTATATTATTTTTGAATTACTGCAGTCACGAAAGCTTTAAATCAAAAGATATTCTTATCGTCTAGCCGAAACATCACCTTAATCTTAAATATAACAAAAGTGGGAGTGCAACTTCAATTTGGACTCGATGATTCATACCAAGTATTTGTAATTCCCCACTTGTTCGATGTGTTGATTATCTTGATACACAACCTTGGTTGTTAATGTGGCAGGAATTGTCTTATTGGAGATAATCATTACTTCGGTTTGATTTGCCTTCAGAACTTGTTTGAGTGAATGAAAGAGATGTTGAATGAGGTCAAAATCACTTTGCAATGTAAGGTATTGATGCTTCTGGTGAAATTCCACTTAACATTATTGCAGTATCGTCAGAAAAAAATGCCCACATTAGAGAATTTCAGTTGGTTTACAAGAATATCATCACAGAGGGGGAATAAAATCGGTCCACGTGGGGAGGCTTGTGGAACTGCCTTCGTGGTTAAAACATTTTAGGTACCAGCTTTCGACTGAAACAACCTGATTTCGCTCAAAAAGGTAGCTATTGAACCAGTCAATTGTATGGCCGCAGCAATTGAGGCTGTCGAGTCGTTTGAGAAGGGTTACACGATCTATAGTATCGAAGGCTTTGGACAAGTCAAGGAAAAGTGTTGCATAGTATTGCTCATGGTCCAGTCTATTAAATACAAAATCAAGGAATCCGAGTACAGCTACCTTAGTGAAAGGGTTTTTTTGTAGAAGCCTGATTATTTAATGTGAGACAGACCATCTGTAGACGTGTTATTGCTAATTTGGGCCTGGGGACTCTTCTCAAAGATGTTAATTTATAGTGATAGGATCTAAATTTGCCAGTAATTGTTTGAGTCATCTGTAGATACACCTGTTGCGAAGACGACGAATGAACGCAGTTTCAATTCCTGTGGCACTGCAACTTTCTTGATCGATAGGTTATAAAGATGGACTAGAGGTTCATAGATTATTTTATCCGCTGTGTCCAACTAAAAAGTAAGTAGTTTATCTGCCCCAGTTGAGGAGGGTGTCTGTCCTGAGGCTAGTTGGCTGAGCACATCCAGTGCTGTGATATTAAATTTAAACGGTTCAGGCGGATGACCAATGTTATCGACAGGGGTGAGGCTTAAGATGGGGGAAGAGTTGCTGAGCTCAAACTAGAGCTGTTTGAATGCACCAATCTATTGAAGATGTGACCGTCTGAAGGCCGTTTATGATATTTTGAATGTTAGTGATGTGTTTCCCATAAATTGTCATGTTTACATCATTTGACCTCCTTTGCCAGTATCAAAATATAATAATAGGGTATTTCCCCTTTTTTCTGGCAACAAAACTGAAACTTTTTACAAGGAATCATGTGTGCATTAACCACGATACTTGCAGTCATAATAATAATATATAATAATATATGGATTGTCCTTGAAACTGATTGGTCCACACCAGAGACGGCTTTATTTTGAGCCTCGTCTTAATTGGTGCTAGACCAGAAGACGCCAAAAGGCGTACAGCTCAAAGACAATGCACTACCAAAGTAATGAGGGCTCGGGGTATAAGCATCTACATCATTAGACCTTCTGAATTGCTAGTCCAGCGTGCGTAATATACATCACACCACGGCAGCATCCCCGATGCAGATGCGAGGGAACTAATGGTCACATTGGGTTGAGTATAAATATATATGTATGTATGCTGAACTTCTTTCGGGGGAAGCTTTTCCAGGTTAGTATTGAACAGTCCAGCTCTGTGTTTAACCTCTGGTAAGCCATCTGAGTGAGCACCTGGGATATCATCTCTCTCTCCCGTTCCCGTCATCTGCCCTTGCTGTTGTCGCAGCTACATAAGCTGAGAGTTAAAATCGCTTCTGTCTCTGAGGTGCGATGGCCGGAGAGTGGTGGGATTAGTAAAGGTGGATCGACCCACAACTGCTCTGGTTGATCTCGGGCAAACCCCAGAACGTGGTGGCTGTTGTGATCTCAGGCATACTCATATCGTTAGTGTTGCCATATGTGATGCTTGTGACACTGAGGTGCGCTCGAGAGTGTCTCTACTTGACTGCCATATTATTATTGGAATAATTTGTACTTGTAATACACCACGACAGTATTCGCTCATTCTCGAAAACGGAGAACGACTCGATGGCACGTGGAGAAAGCATAGACACGATGGAAGGTAACCATAAGATCAACTGGCGCCAATAATTGCCCAAGCTCTGTGGTCTTCTTTAGATGAGAGTGTTGTTTGTCAATTAATGAGCAATTACATGTGGGAGGCAACTGGAGCACCTGGATAAAATCTATACATGTCTCCCACAAAGATATAATAGGTGGAGGCCACATTTACTACACTGCATTCTTCTTGCGAACCAGGCTATGGCTCCTACTCTACGCGCACGGAAAGGAGTTTCTGAACATTTGTGTGATGAGTCACCAACCCTTGCTGGAATACAGGCCACGTGCACTGCTATCAACGCTCCTCTTGAGGCATCAGCAATTTATGAGCACAAGAATCGTGGCCCTACCTTATAAACACAAACCCATTGTCGATAGGAATCCTCATAAACAAAAATAATGGGCAGATGGCTCGGAGGTCAGATAGGCCTGAGCTGGAATTGTTGTCTTCCCGGCTTAGAATGTGTGTTTCAGCTGCCTGTGATTCATCTCATCACAGGCGCCTGACTTCTGGTTACATCGGGCAAGGCAGTGGTGAAATTCTTGACCCAAAGAATATTCAATCAACAGAGGCAGATATTTGTTTCATTTATGCGATCTTTATTGAAGGAACAAAAATAATAAAAAATATATAAACAATTACACGCAGTTATGGAATGGGTCACAACCCCGTTTAATCTCGATAACGCCACAGTATTCCGCGGCATTCTCAATCGCTGCGTCTAAATTTCTGAATGAACCGGTCTAGGCACTGAGATTTGCAATCGCTTCCAGCTCTAATGCAGCTTATGACTGTTTCTTCAAGAGTATTACACACACAGATGCGAATGCGATCCCGAATGATCAAAGTGTTTTTATTGATTATTTTTATTTATATAATTACTTCTGTCACTTTATGCATTGTCATTGAAACGCGTCTTCGCGTTTGCAGGCCTTCCTCCAGTCCGTAATTGTTACATGTGTTGTTAAAATATTTTTGCCACTCACTGCGTTTTATTTCCCACTAGTTCTTGTAACGTATCATCCCTCGCAATTCCCTGTGCATGTGGCATCATTGCCGCCTTCATGGGCAGGTCGCTCTTGGAAAACGAGCTGTCGAGCTCAAATAAGATAATGTACATCTCTCAGTACGTTTCATAGCATATCTCTCAATACAGGACAGCTGGCTATCTACCTTGAAATGTGCCATTCCTTGATTTTCATAATTGACGTTTAGTATGAGGGAGCATACGCTATTGCTATGTTGATATTTTATGAATGCCCTCGCCCCTTCGGTTTAGGCTCGGCTCCCTCCCCTGGCCCTACCCCGTTCCAAATGCACACACACAGTTTGGATACTAAACCTCTACCGAGAGTCACGTGCTATTCCTGTCTGCGTTCCCGTGGTGGTTATTGTTGTTGTTTTATTCGCTCGATCGCATTCGCCTCACATTGTGCTCATGCCCAGTCCAACAGTTCATGAGGTAATGACCTCATCCTTATTGCTGTTGGTGGTGCAATGTGCCTGTTATTTATTTTGTTAATGTTGTTAGGTATTGTTCTTTAAGCACTATGATTGCCTGCACCTATGATGCGTTCTGTTCTGTTGTTGCCCGTTTCTTCTGTACGTATCACTTTGATGTCGTTGTTGTCCTTGTACAGTGGCAATGCACCACGGGATCTCCCTTGCAAGCTAGCTTGGTAGCTGACTACACAGGACTTTCCGTGTTTACGAAAACACATTAATTGATTGTTTGTTATCTTTATTGATAAACTAAGTGTTTTATATATTCTACGGTTTGGGATTTCGTGTGAATTGTATTTTTTGTAATTCCATCTGAGACGCCTTCATCGATATCAAGTGTGCACACTGATATATGCAGCACCTACCTGTTGACAGACTATATATACATTTATCGTAATTTCATTGGCCCAAGTTTTTATGATTGGACTTATTTAAAAATGTGTATTATTATGATTTTCCGCATGCAATTTTTTTGATCATTATTTGATCATTTTCCAGAATTGGATTTTATTTTCCAGATTCGAATTATTTAACATAGTTTTTTTTTTTTTTTACAAATGGCTTATTTGTTTTAAAATAAAATCTAAATATGTTTTGGAAATTTTTATATATCATATACACTTCATGTCTAACACTATATAAAATACATGTTAATATATTTAACTACATATATCCTGATAGCATTGTTTGTTTCTTGGTCCCCGCCCTGCTGAGGAGACTATATGTACGAACACTGCGAGGGACATGCTACCGCACTTTGCACCAGGGCGCCAAAGGCGACCAGCGTGGCGATCCACTTGATCCACATGATGGTTGGCTCCTGCAGGCTGAAGGGCGAGAGACAAAAACGGACAGGGCGCGTTAAGTACCATCGCAAACGCGTCTCGCACCGACGGGATTCACGCGCGTGCCAAAATTTGCCAAAAAGCCGATTGGCCGCTCGAAGTTATACGCTGGGTTGTGCGACGCGTGAAAGGCTGCGTCTTCATTGCTGCTGTTGAATTTGAGCCAAAGACAGAAGCGAACGGGTTCGTGCCCTGGTTAGTCCAGAAATTAAATGAGGCGAATTAATTGTTTAACTTAAATAAAACATACAGACGCCCAGTTATTCTGATCGGATCGGCGCACATTGCAAGTGCATTGCATCCTCAACCCAAACGTTAATCAAACGAGCAACGTTTTGTCTTCACATTCGATCGACTGAGCATAATTAACACTCGGTGCAGAGCCATCAAGTGTGAAGGCGCCGGCACGCGCTGCCAAACCTGTGTGGATACATTCCCATCAGAATTCAGCAGCAACGACCACAAAGACAATTTGAAGAGCGCACCACCACACACAATGCGAACATTTCTCACGAAGCAAGATTCAAACGGGCATTTAACAGGAAAGCAACATCTTTCGAAATGGCACGGATAGGCTCCGAGCAGAAGTATTGCAGGCTCACCCGAGTAGCGGAGAGCGTGAGAGTGTTGGGGAGCGAGAGAGCGAGAGAGGGGACAGTGGTGGCTGTAGCTGGAGCTGTTGAGAGCTGCAGAGCCGAGTCGCTGTGCCTCTCTGGACTCAGGCGCCTCTTTTTAAACGAATCTCCATGGGGAACTGCCGACGTCAAAAAAGGAAGTGGAGCCAATTGATTGTTTAATTTGTGTAATTTGCATGTTATTTAATTTATTAGCCACTCGTTAGCGCTGAGTCGGCTACCGCAGCGGTCGAGGTCAGCTTCTGAGTTGCTGTTATGTAAAAAAAAGATATATCCAACACAGTTTGTTTTGTGGCGGTTATTACAATACATGCACATACACACACTTGGGCGACAGTGAAAATTCCCTTTTTTAATGAACCGTGGCACGTGTTGTTAAGAGTGTAATACAAATGTTGGAAGCATTCGTTCGTACTTTGGTAAGTGAAAAGATACGCACAATTACTGCAACATTATAATTATTGAGCACACGTTAACATCGCAAAAAATCTTGATAAATTTAGCGAAGGCTTGGTGAGGCCTTCATCCAGCAGTGGATTAGACATGATTATGAGGGTGATGGTGGTGATTGATCGTAAAGAAAATTTAATTGATAGCATCTTTTAGCCTCGTGGCACGATTGTTTGGGCATTTCAAGTCCCACTGGGGTTAAGGTATGAATGTGTGCCAATGCATCTCGGAGCTGCTGCTAGAAGAGACACAACATTAAGTCTTGCTAAATCGGCCATCCCAAGAACAAGGTTTTAGCTCCGTCAACACGTTAGGGATTGGGGGAGGGGGGCGAGGGGAAGTTCAAACCCCCCCCCCCTTCTTTTAATAAATTGGTTTAATTTCACATACAAACTCTCTACAATGGTGGAAGGAGGGATGACGGCTGGACACAATGCAAGTACAATGAGTCGTTGGACTCGGAGCCTCTACTCATCTATACACAGGGGGTGAGAGCTACGGGCAAAACGATGCATGATAGACAAAAGCAAATCGTTACTAATTTCGTTCAGCGCACCTTCGATTAGCACGGTTGGCTGTGTACGGTGCGATAGAAGTTCAACATACATACAGGTTTAAAGTTTGTTTAACATTGCGTCTTTGCATCCCCTCCACCTCCTCACCTATGCATCCCCCTTCAAACAATGTGACGCAATGGGGCTCAATATTCTCATAATTACAAGTCCTTATTACAACATCTTATTGGCGTGTATGCCCATTTAGCGATAACGATTTAATATATTATCATACTTATTATAAGAGTACGACTTATTATAATGTATCAAGGTGAGAACCCATTGACACAACAAACATATTTTACAATGGCGTCTAACACCAAGCAATTCCAATAGCCCAGTGGAATTATACACATCGTGTACGTCGGTATCATACCGAGCAATCATACTGAGCTTTCAAGCATCTAACGTTTAGAGCTATCATTCAGATATAACCGACATAGATAATAGACTGAGCTACCTAATGGAGTTAATGTACACAGAAACAATACGTGGTAATCTTAAAGAGATATCTTAGAGATAACAAAGAGCAATTATACATTGCTATTACACTGTTTCATACAGAGGTTATCAAACACGGGCATTCTACTGAGCTATCATACAGAGCTAACATAAACGGTTTAATACAGAGTTAAGATTAAGAGATCCTGCAAAGCAAGCACACAAATATATTATATAGAGATTCATACTGAGCCACCATGCACAGGTAATGTACAGAGTTATCCTAAAACGCTATGTATGATACAGAGATAACATACACAGCGATTACACAGAGCTGAAATTTAGACCTATCACATGGGAATATCATACAAAGCTATCAAATATATCTAACATATATATGCACATATAGCTATCACACAAAGTTACGGCACCGAGCTATTATCCAGAGCTAACAAAGATTATCACGGTTGACTGTGTATGGTGCCAACGAAGTTCAACATACATCAACTAAAGAGCTTCATTTATAGCTTAATAAATAGCTAACCGACAGAGCAATCATATAGAGTGAGCATAGCAAGCTATAATGTGTCGCTAACATAGAGATTAATATAGAGATATCATACAGAACGATCATACGTTATAATATGGTGCTTTCATACAAAGCTAAGATGTTTAGGTATTAGACAGTGCTAACATACATAGATATCATAAGGATTATACGGGATTTATCCAAAGTTCCTTAAACACCTTGGCCAAAATGGATTCCGCTGGTGGGCCAGATTGCTTTCGGACACAATGGTCTCAGGCAAAATTCTGAATAAATTGTGACAAACGAAGGTCATTGCGAATCCGAAGCCCAAGAAATCAACCGCAAAACCAAGTAACTTCTGCCCCATATACCTGCTTAGCACGGTGTACAAGCTCATCGAGAGGATGCTACTGACTAGTATGTCACCAAACTTCGAGGAGACTATGCTAACTAAACAGGCTGGTTTCCGCCCTGACCGCAGCACATTGCAAGCACGTGCTGGAACTCACCTCGCACATTGAAGCTGGCTACCAGCGCAAGGACATCAAAGCAGCTGCTTTCGTCGACCTATCAGCGGCCGATGGCACAGTATGGCGGGAGGGCCTCATGCTAACGGTTTCGATGGTTATCAGATGCCAGCAGACCCTCCGACGCCTATCAACACTAGTGTCCAACCGGCAATACCGGGTCCACCTGGGAAACACTATCTACAGAGTCCGCTTACTCAATAACTGGCTCCCACAAGCATCAGAGCTTGCTCCAGCACTTTTTAACATATATATGTGACCTCTCTGTTACCATCAGCCAGAAATTTGGCTACACCGATGATCTGGCACTTACCATCAAAAGAAGGACCCAAACTAAGGTCCAAAGCGACCTTTGTTCGAAGACCTCCAGAAACTCGAAATGTACTTCAAGTATCGGAGGCTCTGCCCAAACCCAAGTAAAACTGTGGTCACATAATTCCACCTGAAAAATGCAAATGCTGACCAGAAACTGGCCGTCACTTTCTGTGGCGAAGAGGTCCAGCACAAGAAGTAACCAAAATATGTCAGTGTAACTCTCGACAGGAGACTCACCTTCCGCGAACATCTGCAGAATACTGCTATGAAAACGAAATCACGAGCTAATCTACTTCATATTGTCACCAGAACATGGGGGGGGGGGGGGGGGAAACCCAACGATGCTCCGGACGGCCACTACAGCAGTAGTACTCTGTGTGGCAGCATATTGTGTTCCAGCCTGGAACAAAAGCATGCACATGAAGCTGGTGGACACATAGCTAAATGTACCCATGAGGATCATCTCAGGGATGCCAAAGAGCACACCGGTGCAGTGGCTTCTGGTCCTCACAAACATCGCTCCTCTGTAGCTCTGCCGCGACGCCGCGTGTGTGAGGGAGTATCGCACGAATATCAGAAATCCTAACATCCCAATAAACAAGGATATCTCCATGATACCGCTGCACAGACTCAAATCCCTAAAAACCTTTCTGTCAATATGCAAAGAACCTCTATGACTTGATTCGAAGCTTTCGTGACTGCAGGAATTACTCTTTGGTTCTTTCGGTAAAGTCACATAGAAAGAAAATAAAAAAAATTAATAGAGTACGACGTTTCAGGTGACGCACAATGAATTGCGTTTATGTTGCAATCGAAACGTCGTACTCTATTATTTAATTTATTTTCTTTCTACGTGACTTTATCGAAAGAACCAAAGAGTAACCTCCATGGCGATGACTAGACCACCAAAGCACGATGGAGGGAAGCCTGGAAAAACACCAACCTGCTGCAGAAATCCATCATCAGCGACCCCATAATTCTCCAAATCGGATCTGACTTTCCGAGAAAGATCTGGTCCTCCTTGAATCGGATCCGGACACTCCATGGAAGATGTGGACACTATCACAAATGGAAAATTAAGGAGAGTCTAGATCATTCAACGGCGATCTGAAATAAATCTAAGCGGCTACACCTGAAGCAGTCGAATGGATATCAAACCTCGACATCAATTTGTAATCTGTTGCAATTCCAAAAATATGCCATGTGAAAGAAGTAGTGCTATCATAGAGACTTAACATGCACATCTTAAACACAGAGATATCATATGTGCATAACAAATACAAAAAACATACATATTTATTAGATAAAATATCACAGATATAACAAGCCAACGTTGCATGTTTTATCTCTTGAGTTCTCATCTGGTTAAATAAAATACACTTGGAACGGGGAAATACGGCCCTGTCATGAAGTGATCTCATACTGATAGCTATAATACAGAGCTGGCATATTTTTATTGCATATCGCATATTGGATATGCCACTGAAAGATACATGTCCAGGCTGGAAAGCCACGCGACAGTTTCAGGTGACGCTCAATGAATTGCTGCTGCTGTGCCTATGTTGACTTCCCATAGTTTGCAGTGATTTACAATGCACTCAATTATTTGATCAGGGGTCTCCAAGGTCACAATCCGGGTCTCTTTTGATGTTCCACTCGTGAAGGCTATGATCATGATAAGTCATGTGGCAATCAATTGAGCCACGTGCTCCATTGTTTTCAGGTGACGTGCTCCATTGTTTCAGGCAAGGTCATCACCACGTGGTGCAGTGGTGAAATCTAATGCCAGATGTTTGTTTGGCACGTCACCGTAATAGATCAGAATTGTCTCCACTGTTGTAGTGTCGACTCCTGCGTTCATATGGGGGTGCATCCCTCAGTTCCAGAACGAGCTAGCGTGGTCCTATCAATGCAGATATCAAAAGTCGAGCTTGCGAGAACTGATAGTGGGGTGCGTGGAATGTTTGATAGCCTCGGAAGCCAGGGAAGATGAGTGGAGGTGAGTGTGCCGGTGATGGTGTGCATTGCTTAATTTAGGAAGGGGTCCAAGTGCTTTGTGCGAATGTTCCTCGCCCAGACAGGAACACATTACGGGTGGAAAACCATGCAGGCCAAGGTGGCGGCATGCAGAGTTCACGCGGTCGCTCTCCAGCTCGTGCCCCGCAAGCTTTTGTTTGCGCTTTCGTTTACCACGAAGACCTGCCTCTCGGGTATCTCGGGGTTGGTTGTCCATCTCCTGGACTTTTTCGCAATGGAAACACACGTTGA